AAGAGTACCACAATAAAAAAACATTCCTCAAACTTGAAAACAGCTGTTACTTAGCACAATACCATTCACAAACTGTCACAAAAAGCACACCCTCAAGAAATAAACATAGTATTGAAAGCTTTTGTAAATATTTATATAGACAATGTTGCATTGTCATTCATATATTACTTAAAACACATAAACTACTATTTGTTAAGCTAGCTCACATTCTTATCATATCTAAAATAGAAATCTTACCTGGTCTTTCCACTTTGATAACTTCAGCCCCTAGATCTCCCAAATTCATTGTGGCAAAAGGTCCTGCAAGCACCCTGTAATATTAAGGAAATATTGTTTTCTTAGTTTTTCCAAACAGAATATTTGCATCTAGACACACTGTTCCAAATTATAGACAAAACACAAACCTTGTTAAATCAAGAATTTTCACACCATCCAATGGCTTTACATTACTAGCATCTGTCAAGAAACAGAAAACAGTGACTTTTATCTTAAAAAAAAAAATAAAATAAAATTCAGGAGTGTTTCTCATCGGTTGTCTGAAACACTGTTTTTATGCCACTGTCCCCTCATCTCCCTCCCCAAACACAGGATAATAATCTCCAGGGAGATTTCTGTTAAACAAGTTAATAAGTTTTGGATTTTAATACAATATGTGGACTAAGGAGTATTGTGAAAACATGCCTATCTATGAATGGTCATGTGTTTTGCACTTTCCAAGCCTTTAGGAAAATCTCAGGCTGCCACCTCCCTTCAATGCTGCACACCTCAGTGAGTTGTAGGTGTTGAAAAACAGCTGTGCCAGGTAAACACCACCAGCCCTCCAGTACAAACTCAGTCTTATCAAACCAGGTGCACCATTTGTTTCACAGTGACACTACTCTCTTTACCAAAAATACATAAACAGCTTTACTGAAGAGCACAGCTCCCCAAAAGTAAAAATACACACAATTTCAATTAAAAAAAAAAAAGGGTCCACCTTCTCTATTCTTTCCATGCCTTTTAGAGTTGCATCTTATTATTTAATGGTTCACCCATTCTCATTCTGAGCTGAGCTGCAGGAATCCATAAAGATATTTCTCAAAGAAGCCTATAAAACATCAAGATTAGCCTGTAATTATGTATTTATGCATAACTAAAACTAATTATCATATCACTCATATTATGGCATCATCTAACACTTCATTCAGGGATTAGGCCTCTTCCATAGTTGGAACAGAATAGGAGAGCACAATCGTTGCCTTGGAGACAAACAGACCATTGTGAATTTTTTTTAATGCCAATAAATAACAGATGTCCACAATAATGAAGAAATGCAAGAAAGAGGAGAGATAAAAAGTTTCCTTTGGAAAATCTGAGGAAAATAATAGACCTGTTAGTTACTTCAGACTAGAAGATCACAAATGCTCACAAAGAAAATATACAGGACCTAGAGTTGCATTTCAGCAAGTCAATAATTTGCTGAAACAATTAAAATAGAAAGCAGCAGTTCCAGTACACTGATCCTGAGTACAGGAATGCTATCTATTGCAGGAATATAAAGAAATAAACCATATCACAAACAGACACAAGAGATCAGAATTGATCAGTATTACCTAGAAACATCTCCTGGGTTTTTTTTTTGGTTAATTTTTGGTGGGTTTTTTCCTTTCCTCGCTAGCTTCCAAAGTGGGTGTCTACCTCCCCAAGTTTTTTGTTGGAATTCTGGCTCAATAGTCTAAGTTTTCTGAAAATGTGAACTCACATTTTCTCTTGTATTTTTGCTTTTAATTATTCCAGTAACTTGACGACTGAAAGAAAAATCCACTCTCCCTGCTATAACTATATCCTATATGTAAACTCTCAATTTCCATGATGCTTGAATTTACTGTAAATTGCACTATCATATGTATCTTCTATAAATAACTTCGATGAAGACTAAATCAACCCAGTTACTCTCGATATGATTTACATTTTTAGTTAAGCTCAGTAAGGTATCCAAAGGTTGCCCTAACCTAACAGTATGAGTAAGGAACAAACAAAGAAGAGAAATTAATTTTCATATCATATTCCCAAATGATTTCCTTTATACTTTTAAGTGATAGAAGAGGGCACCAACAAGAGAGCCAATTAACACATTTTTGCATCAATGCAAATTAACAGTTCTCATTCCAGTTACATTCAATTCCAGAGGACATGGCTCCTCAAGTCTATTGTCTCTACTTTGATTGCACAATCAATATTTTTTACTTTATCCATGCAGCAAGTTATAATCAATTCCATCACTACTGTGGATTAATTCACGATCAATGGGTACACACTTGGTACTTTCATCGTGGGAGACAGAAATGCAATCTTCCTTCAATTCTAATGCCACCAACGCTATTGTTAACTATTTTTCTATGTCACTAAATAAGAGAGAAATGTGAAGCTAGATAATAATTACTTTGTTGTAGCTTGGATTTATTTTCCTTCATTTAAAAAGAGAAAAAAGGGCACAACTTTGGAAAAAAAACAGGCCTGAAACTGGGCATCTGGCACTTCCTCCGCCTCCACCAGCCGAGGCTGCCCCGAGAGAGCCGACACGCTCCGTGCCACAAAAGCTCCGGAGCCTCCGGCCGTGGGCAAAGTCCGGCCGCGGGCAAAAAGTCCGGCCGCGGGCAAAAAGTCCGG